GTAAAAAACACAGGCCGCGCTCTAACTTTTTTCCCACCCTAGGAAAAAAAGAACGGCCCCCCCCCGCCGCCCCGTAACTCCCTTCCCCCCCCGAGCACCTCGCCGGGCCACCCAAACCCCCTCTCCCCCCCGACCGCTGGGCTGGGCTGCCCAAACCCCCCGCCCCCTCCGAGTGCCGCGCTGGGCCAGCCAAACCCCTGGAGTGCCGGGCCGCTCAACCCCCCGAGCGCCACGCCGCCGAACCCCCCGCCCCCAGTGCCAGGTCGCCGAAACCCCCGAGCGCCAAGCCGGGCCGGCCAAACCCCCCCAGCGCCGCGCCCGCGCTGCCCGGCCGAAACAAAAACAAAAAAACACCACGAGCGCCCCCTGCCACCCCAACATTGGCCGCCCCTTCTAAGGTGCCGTCCCAAGCACGTGCTTGGTCAGCTGGTGCCTGGAGCTGGCTCTGATAAAAGATTGTCAAATTACAAAGATTTATTTTAACAAAAAATGCCTGGCAGCTATTTTGCAAATTTTATGAAAACCAAAGAAATGACCTAGCAGAAATGTATTGATATCACTCTCCATTAATGAAATCTTGCAAGCTACTAATGTGATTACTGTTTTTGTAGCATATTCACTGAAACGGTCACAAATGGGTACACAATAAGATTACAAATGTACATAGCACAATACTGCTAATGCCATCAAGCCTGCTGAGCCACTTAGAAATGTTATTTTGCTTTTCTGCGCCGTTTAAAACCAGGTAATAACTCAGAAGATGAAAAACTAGAGTGGCATAGGGAAATTTCTCTGTTACCACATGGGCCATTTGCTATTCATCTCTTGTAAGGTAACTTTTATTCTTAAAGGGGATCCATTTACCTGTCCAGTGTACATTGTATAGGTCTCCATCTTTTCACAATTATTATTTACAGTAGTCCCTGCTGAGTGCTTTCTGAACTTTTGGGGTGCATTTAAGGAAACATGGTCCCTGATCCTGGAAGCTCACAATCTAAGGAATTCATAAGATAAGTCACTGAACTTTATTTCCTTGTACCAATTTATTAGATGGCACCTTATTGTATTAATTAATGTGATTATTAGAGCTGGTTGGAACATTTTCAAAGGAATCATTTTTCATCAGAAAATGCAGGGGTTTTTTTCAGAATGAAAATGTTCTACAGGACTGTGTAGCTTTTGAGAAAAATTTCAACAAAGTGTTGAAATCATTTCAACTTCCTGAATTTGTTTTGATGACATGTTTTGTTTTTATAAGGGAAACATTCCATTTTTACCTTATCATTTTGTTTCATTGTGGCATTTATATTACAATATTTATTTTAATATTATGTTTAATATTGTTATGTTTCGACATTAAAATGAAACATTTTGTCTTATTGTAATGAAATATTTTGACATCATTGAAATACAATGTTTCAATGTTTCCTAATCAAAAATGTTCAGAATTTTCATTCCATGATAAATTTACAGATTTTGAAATGTTGGCATTTCCTAAAGGATGGAAATTATTTTCTCTTCAATTCTAGTAATTTTTCTTCCCACCATGTCTATCTTTTCAAGTTATCATACAAGAAATTATATTTATTGTTTTTAAGAATGGGATTTAATACTATACTGATGCCTTCTGTACTATGTTTGTTTAAACAAAATATAGAGAGAGGCTTGAATCATAAAATCAGGTCCAGATATGTAGCTTTAAAAAGTTTGGGAGTGTTCAGATTGAGGTTTTAGGTTTTTAGACCCTTCTCTAAAATATAGGATGGAATTGCTAGTAACTTTTTGGATATAATGTTAAATAAATCTTATTTCAAAACCAGGCTATTTTCAAAAAAAGAATGTCATCACAGCTGACAATAAGCATTTTTTTCTTCCCCAATAGCTAATTCCTACCCATTCAGATAAAGAGAACTAGCAAGACTATCTTCAGTAATGCCAATGATATTAAACGATGTATACAATATTTGTTGCCAAGAAAAAAAATAAGGACATAATTAGCATTAATTGCTTAAGCAATATGATTCTTTATGACAGCTACAATATTTAGGAAATTATATATAGACTAAACAGGGTTTTTAAAACCTATGAGACACCAGAGGAAAAATGATCTCCTAAAATTTCATTGGAATTCCTTTCAGCTAAGAGCAAATGTAGTATTAGTCCAATATGGGTGCACCACATCTTGCCCTTGCAAGGAGGTGTACTTGGTGCTCTTAGCTCTTTTCCATCTGCCAGTAAGAGCTGACTGACAGACAGCAAGCATTGTGTCTCTCTTTCCTACCCTTTAATCAGGAGGATAGAGGTAGAAGTGGGAGGGATGATTTGGAGAGGGAATAAATGAGAAGAATGTAGAAATTTGGCAGTAGAAGAAATTAATATTCATAGTAAATAGTTGAATTATATAATGGAGATGCAAGTATAATGCATCTATATCTTGTAATTTACTAAAAAAATAAAGAAAATAAATCCATCCCATATTTATAAATTGCAGTATCCTAAAGTGAACGTAGTCAGCTGAATGTTCTTATAGCCAAGCAGTCCTTGGCCCCTTTTGCATTATCTCACATAGGTGTGCAGTCACAATTTTCTAATTAGACATCTGAACTCTAAATAAGCCTACACAACCTTCCTTGTTCTAAGGGGCCATCTGCATCACGGCCCCAGAAATCAGTGGGATTTAAACATTTGCTTAAATGCTTAACTGAATTAGGGCCTATAAAACCACTATGTTGGGGAACCAAATTACAATTCATGTTTACATGAGAGCTCAATCTTGTGTTATAGATAGTCTCCTCCCTCCCATTCTATTTTAATTTTGACCCATTACTATAGTGTTGGTGTGACCAAAGCTGCAGCAGTTTTGGGGATATGGTGAGGTCCCATGCGTACAATGTGATAGAAATGTGGTTTAATTATTTTGGGGGACAGCTATGTTTGTAACCGTGGGCCCAGAGGGTTTAACCTACACAATCTTGTCAGGCAGACTGCAGAGCGCCATCTTCTTATAACTTGGTACTATAAAATCTTCCCATTTTCAGTGATGCTCATCACAGCCCACTTCCAAATGTGTGAAATTGTTGTAATAAAAATGCAGACACATGGAAAACGTTTAAAGAGAATGAGGGTTAGATGTTTCTCTGATCAGCAGATTCATTGACAATCTTGGTTGTCTTTCATTAGCACAATTATGTGTGTCAGGGAAGACAATATATCTTCTATAGAAGGGAGAGAAAAGGATCTTGCCAAAAGAACCTCCTCATACTGTCTGGTATTTATGGAAATCTGCCAGAAAATAGCTTCTAATCCACATTCTGTAACTATATATGCGCCTAAATTCTTGAGAAGATAATCAGTTGTCCCACTATGCCTGGGATAGTCTAAGAGATTGCTGACCTTATCACTTTTTTTCAGTAGGGGAGCGGGAGTGGGTGGTGGGAATATGAGGGCTCCCGCTGACTTCTCCTACAATATAAATGCTCTGCTTTTAATGGAAATCTGCCAGAAAACAGCTCATTCTGTATAGCCCAAGTTCCTTAAAAGAAGAGCTGAAAATACCAGATGCTCCAATTTGTCTTGGATTTTCTCATAGCTGCTAACATTGGTGTTCCGCTTGGTGGAGGTTTAGCCAAATAAGGGCTGGACTGTTCCTCCCTAAATCCACATGCAGATACCGGCCCCCCTCATCCCTGAATCAAAATGAATAGGCCAGCAGGCAGGGCTCTCTGCGCTTGGTTTTCACAGAGAGCCATGCAAGGGAAGAGCTGGGTGTGGTGTCATTGAATGAAGCGCCACCATGGTCCCAGCACATCCCTTCTCGCTCCTGACACACCCGCTATTCTGAGAGCTTGGGAGAGGGTGGAGGCAGCCAGTGCAGGGTAGAGCTGACTAGAAAGAGGAATCTGTTTCCATGAAAAAATGTGCAGTTCACAAATGTCCTCCTGAACCAGGATGAAATGTTCCAATGTGAAATATTTCGCAGAGAGGGTTTATAGAAAAAATCTATTTTGGAAGAACTGAAATGCAATTTTTCTGCTTCTCAGATGCCCACCAGGACAGCTGCTGTCATTTAGGAAAAGGGCAAGAATCTGGGTGCCAGAGAGGCGAGAGCCTGGACACTCAGCCTCCCCTGGAGCTCTGGGAGCTAGAGAACCCAGGTGCCTGGCCTTCCTTCCTCCCATCACCGTTCTGGGGCTGGAAAGACAGAGCCCAAGCACTCAGCCTTCAAAACCCTCCACAAAAGCTTTTGTCAGTGTCACTGGCAGAAAGTTAAATTGATGAGCCTCCCTGGGGGCAGACAGCGAGCCATTAGTTTTCTTTTACCCAACAGAAAATCACAATTTTTCAGAAAAACTGAAATTTTCGTATTGGAAAATCATTCCGACAAAAATAAAAATGTTTTTGACCGGTTCTAATACAGGGGCTCGGACCTGGAATACTTGCACCAGATGACACAGACGACTCAAGAATTGCACCATCAGGTAAAACAGACTCCAGTGAGGAGTGGCTGGAATCAACACTGATATCAACACTAGATACTGCAATGACATTTAAAATATACCTGTCCTTGGCATCAGTCGCTTGCTCACATAAAAAGAAAGTCTTAAACACCTAACCTGTCCTTGATAGCAGATTTATGAGTCTGGAAAAGTGCTGGTAGACAGTTGTTGAGCTGTACCAAAGACATCAACATTCTTTAGGTTACTTTCAAGGTATACTTTCAGTATTTTTTTTATCTAATATTATCCGGTGTCTTGTTTTTAAAAAATGTTTCCTGCAGACAGAGTGATTAAAATGGTGTTCCTGTTGAGCTAGGGATTTAACAAACTATTTTTGGACAATCTGCTGTTTTTTAGCAGCACTTTCTTCAAATTTTGAAAGGTAGTCAAACGTAAATGTGTACAGAAATGTTAAGATGTTGATCATAACTATTATTTTTTCATTATTTGTATTACAGTATTGCCCAGCCAACATTCATGGCCTTTTGTGCCCTTTGTACAAACACACATTCCCTGATCCAAAACCCATTGAAATCAATGGAAGAATTTGGATCAACCCATAGTAAAGAGACTAGTCTCTAACCCTTATAATGTACAGTCTAATTAGACAAGAGAGGTACATTTTTGAAAATATCTATATATGATGTAATAGCATATTACTTCTATATTTTTCTAAATATGATATAATGAAATATGTCATATATGGTGCCTGAATCAGTTGTCTTTTTCATCAGTTTGATACACACACACATTTATGTATTTATAAAATAAATAGCTATCAATAGGATTTATGTGTTCTCAGTAAATTCTGTAATAATAATTTAACACATAAAAGGATTCTTCCCACATTGAAAGTGGTACATTGACTTTAATCAATCTCTGCAACATAAAAAGCTTCCAGTTTTAAGTGTGTTTTTGTTGTGGACAATGTTTGTTGCTTATTTCTTGACATATAGTAAAATATTTTCCTCCTCCCAATAGATCTCCTAACGTTCCCAGTGGCTAAAGCGGGACAGGTCCTACCCATCAGGGAGCTGGTACTGGGTGCTGCCCCCGGGGAGTGGGAGATCCGGGTTGCGGCAGATAGTTGCAGAGGAAGCCTGCCCGGCACTCATCCTGCAGTAGCAGCACCTGTCCTATGGGGCTGGCTAAGGTCTACTCCAGTGTTCGGAGCTCTTGCTGCTGGGCACAGGGAGGGCAGGGGCTGGGGAGGAATAGAGGGAGTCCCAAATGAAATGAAATTTTAAGTTGAAACTAAGTGAATTGTGTCTTCAAATCAACACATTGATTTAATTTCAAAATGCAAATCAAAAACAATGTGGTTAGATTCTCCCAATTGGAAAATAGAAAAATGTTGTCAGCATAGATATTTTCTCATGGAAATGGAAAATTTCAAGTTCAATTTATTTTTTTTTACATGAAAATTAAGAATTTTTCAATCTAAACGTTTGACCAGCTGTACCCCTAATATGTTAATCACAATGCTGTTGTACAGCCACCCACTGTGCCTGGGACCTGGACCTGGGACATTGGTATACACTGAATGTTCTGCGGCTATTTTTGCACTACTAATAGAGTGATATAATTTACACACTTTTAGAAACTCCACTGCAGAATTTGCTGCAATGTCCCTAATGGGTGACAATGAAGCAGGTGGGGGCAGGTGTATCTAATTTCAGTGTCTCCGTTCGGTGAATTCATATCTGAGCATGTCTTTAAAAGACAAACGAGACATGCCTACATTCAGATTCTCATAATAGCTTCAGAGATGGTTTCAAAATCAGATCTTTTTAATGTACTCACATGGTTCAAGGCAATGTTGCCAACTCTCACAATTTTTACACAAGTGATGTGATTTGGGCTGGGGCTGGAGCCAGTCTTATGATGGCAGAGAAGTTTCAGCCCTCTAGCGCATGTGAGCCCTCTGATTGGCTGATCCAATTCCCATCTCTTGGAAGAGCTCTCTTCTCCCCACAGCCCCAGTAGCATCGATAATTTTGATTTTACAAACTATGTCTTTGGTTGTAATCTTATAGTCTCTGCAGCCACCTAGTGGGCAGTCCAGGCATATTCACTGAGGATAGTACTAAAGAGAAGGAGGAAGGACCTTTCTTTCTGTAATAAGCGTGACACACAGTGACTGAAGTATTGGCAGAACCAAACCAAAACACCCAACTTTATTTCCTTGCCACAGCCACCTGACTTTGATCAGATTCGCAAAGGTGAACACCCTTGTTATATGGGTCAATATTTGCTGACTGTCGTAACTACTGTTACCATAAACTTCTAATACCAATTTCTTCCATAGCAGCACATTGACTCTTGAAACTCAGCCATTACTCTTGAGCTAAATCTTTGACAGGCCTTGTAAAGCTTAACTATTTATTTTAAATTGATCCAAACTAACCTGAGTTATAAATTTTCATCTCTCTCTTCTCCTTCCCCTTTCTGACACATCCTTTCTTCCTTCCTTCCAGTTCAGCCAGATTGCTTTGATTCATATATCCCACCTCTCTTTCTTCTAACTGCTGCTCCCCCTCCCAACTGCCAGCAAACCATGCTCATACTTTCTCTCCAAACCCTCTGTTACGGGATAGGTTTCAGATAAGGCCTGGATCCAACTTATCCCTTCTCCAAGTGCTGCCTTATAAAAACAGGAATTCTGGAATTTGTAGTGCCCCAGAGGATCATACAACTACAGCCTACAAAAAGGTCTTCAGGGAAAAGCATCCAGCCTGTAAAACAGCTGCTTGTTGCTAAGTGCAGGTAAAGGCCCAGGGAGACTCTGAGACTTTCCACTGGAAGATCTGAAGGGAATGAGCTCTGGCTGTTATGTCTGCCCTAAAAAGGAGCCTTGGAGATGGGCTGGTGACCAGAAGTTGAGAGAGGGCTGGGGAGAAGACATAGAATGCTCGCAAGCCAGGCACTCTAGGAAGTGGTCCTGGGAAGCAGAGAAGCAGGCAGCATGGAGTATGAGTGTTGACAGCTGCCCAAGTGTAGTGGGTGTGATATTCTGTACCTTGGGGGAATGCCCTGTAACCACCATGTTCCTCATTTATATGTGATTGTGATCTTACATATAAAGCATGCCATGTGAGGTATCAGGGGAAAGGTTATGATCTGCTGAAAGTCATTTCTCTATCCATATATGTATATCATTAATGCATATGAAGTTATGAGAATTGTGTTGTATGGTGGTCACTAAAACATGCTGTAAATTGGGGAATCAGCCAGATATTAGCTCCCCAGAGGCAACAGAAAGGAAAGTAGCCAACACCCAGGCGGTGTGTTAAACAACCCATCAACAACCATTGTCCAGCAAGGGAGCTACAATTCAATGACTCACCTGCATGAAGCCACACCAGGGGGATTGCTCAATTTTGCCTGGAGACTCAGCAATGCACCCAGACATGCCTGGACTTGTGTTTTTCAAGCAGATGGACTGAGGGTATAAAACAGACACAGAGGCCACATGCTGGGCCTTTCTCCTTCACCCACCTATGCTGCAAGCAGCAAGGGCACCCTGAAGACTCCGACTGAGGGGACTGGCCCAGATTTCAAGGGTGAAATCTGTGTACTTAAGGACTGCAGTATCCAGTGGGGTGAGAAAAACTGCTTAATCTAGACGTTGCCCAGTCTAATAGGGTTGAGAATATAGACTGCATGCTCATATTTTATTTTACTTTGGTAACTAACTATGACTTTTTGCCTAGCACTTAATATCACTTAAAATCCATCTTTCGTAGTCAATAAATTTGTTTTACTGTTTATCTTTACCAGTGAGTTTGTATGAAGTGTGTGGCAAATCTGCTCAGGTTTTGCAAAGTCTGGTGTATGTCCATTTTCCATTGATCAAGTGGTGAACCAATTAATAAATTTGCACTTCTCATCTTGAGGTACAGTGCTGGGAGCTGGGGGGAGGATTTGGCTCTGGTGTCTTTCTCTGTGTGATGCATGAGTGGCTCTGGGAGCATTCATGCAATCTAGCTGGCTGTGGAGTTTCCACATGCTGTTGTGCTGAGTGATAACAGCACCTAGAGGGGTTTGCTGCTGGTCACTAGCAAGGTATTGTAAGAGACATCCCAGGCTGGAGAGAGTTCAGGGGACACAGCGGTCCCACAGTCCCAGGCTGCACGCTGGGGATCCCTTCACTGTGGGTTTCCGGGCTGGACCATGGTAGGAGAAAAACACTTATTGGCTAACCCGGTGGTGCATAATCTAGGTATGCAATGAATGTATTGCTTGCCCTACGTGGCTGCACATCATGACCTCACATGCGCTGTATGTGTCTGCATTTTGCAAAAATGTGACCCATTACCAAGACCAGATGACTCCTTTCAGCGTCCCTTCTGCTTCTCAGTTTTTCACTCCCAGTACAAATCAGCAAGGTACCCAAATTACCACTATTTAGATAGTTTTTATTCCTCTTATAGCCCAGTCATACTAGATAGGATCTGTAAAACACTGATGGGGCATCTAAAATGCGAACCCCACTGCTTTTCAGCCATTTTCAAAGAAGTTCTCCATTTCCCTCTGGGGAACTGGCTCCCCTAGAAGCATTGTGCTGGACACCTCTGGTAATAATTCGGTTGCTCAAGAAAAGATTTCACAAATCTTGCTCATTAGGGAACTCTTTAGGGATCTTCTCCTCCTAGGCCAATGGTCAGATGGTGGCCTGTGTGGAAACTGTTCCATGGTGATGTTGGGCCCCTGCACTGTATAAACTTTCCTGGTTTATCAAAGGAATGTTCACAATCGAGAACCAGATTATAGTCTGCACCATCCTCAGTGCTCAAGGCAAATGGCTGTCACAAGAATCTCATCACAACAACTTCCTGTAGTGGCAAGCAGTTAAAGGAAGGATTTTTCTCTCTTCTCCTAAGATTCCCTTTGGATCTGGTCACCATTGAAAGTGACAACAGAACCTATATCACATAGCAGTAATGCCAGAGATGAACAAAAAAGTGCCCCAAAAATCCTAATTGAAGCAAGGCTCTCCCAGATCAAGAAATTGTGTTACTTACTTACTTATTTATTGTGTTTCACTCTCTAAACACTCAACAAGTATGATCCCTGTTCAAAGCATCTCGCAACAAAAAGAATTTAATGACCAAAACCAACTACATTTAGGCAAAAGAGCAAGACTGGTTGACTGACTAAGCAGCTGCTGGTTGGATACAGGAGAATGAGATCTAAATCAGTGAGTTATTGAGTAGTTATCAGAAATGTAAAGACCCTGTCACTCATGGTTTTCCAGACTCCCACAGATGTCAGTTCAACTCTTTCCTTGGGACCTTCTATGCCAGGGCGCTCTCAAGCACTCATGCATTGAGCACCTGAAGCTCTGAGCCTGGAACCTGAGGGGTGTACCCGCCTTACGTGTGGTACTACAGAGAGCTCATGGACTGTCTGCTCATGCCTAGGAAACCATCCTCTAATCTGGGCATTTCAAGAGATTCTGAGATCTTGGTCCTTGAAAGGACCAAAAAAAACCTGTTTGTTTCAGGACCAGGGATATACTGGAGTTCCTTCTAGATGGGTTTTGACTGGGTATGAGCTCTTGCTTCCTGAACATCCAAGTTTCAGTGTTAGGAGCAATGTGGCCTATTTCTTCCCATTCTGGTTGGTTGGTCAATTGGTTGTTAATTTGTTTGGTGATTGTTGCATCCTCACATTCCTTTGTTCTTTAAAGTTGTGTCCTGCAGACCAGGAGACCACTAAAATAATTTGATGCCACAGTCCACCACCAAAAACTACCCCCCCCACCACACACACCTTTTCTTTGGCTAATAAATGTAGGATAAAGTTTCCTGCCTGGAGATTTGTGAAATATTAACCATGACTATTAATCAGAATTTATTGTTTTGTCTTCTGGGCCATGGTCATTGACTGAGAGCTGGAGATGTAATCAGTATTCTGAACAGCATCCTTGCTGGCATTTCACTGAGAAGCTGGAAAAAGAGGAAGAACCTAGTCAAAATGGATCAGAGAGCACCAGGTACCCACTCCCACTTCAGAGCAGGTACCATTATGGGTAGGAAAGGAAACTTTACCTTTCAAAGTCATTTGATTCATAACTGAGCTATGATTAATCATGTTAATTTTAAATACTTTAGAAAAATATTGCAATTATGGGATGCCATCCCAAATAAGAGAGGCTAAATGCCTTCCAGATTCCAACTGCTTTGTCACTGTGTATGTCTGGATTAAGCTAATGCATTTCCTTCTCTGAGAAATGGATGTTGCTAATCTCACTGATATAGTAGCTTCATATTAGATCATGTTACAGATTTTAAATCAGATTACACCAAAATCAGATTAGTTTCTGGTTTTTAAACAAAGGAGCTGAATGTCTGTATTTCTGAATTTGTTGTGTTACAGCTCTTGTCTGATTTCTCTACCCAAGAGAAAACAGGCATTCAACATTGCATGTATCCCCGTACATTTTAGTAGAGTAGATTTTCCATATTAAGTGGATAGTGGATTAAAGTCACAGTCTGGGAGAGAGGTATTCAGAATACTCTGCCACTATAAGGTCTAAAGTAGCTAAAAGTTTCATTCACCTTCTGAGCACACTGCCATAAATATTTTGTATAATGTACTGTTTGCACTCCAGGTCTGCTTTATACTCCTCACCACTCATGACAATCTGCCATCCTAGGCAAAACTTCAGCATGCCCCTCCCCACTCTCGCTCACCCTTAGAACAGAGATTTTCAACCAAAAAGAAATGTTCCCCCAGAAAGTCTGGGGGTGGTGGTACATCAAGCCTTCTGATGGTTCCGTGGTCATGATAGAAAAGGGGGGAGGAAGAAGGCACCAGGTTGCAGTACCATTCACTCAGGTTTGGCCCTGCCACCTCTACATCACACACGTTTTCTGCACTGAGTATATATTATTATTATTATTTATATATTTTATAGCTCTGTACTCCAAAGAGCTTACCAATGTCCTCCATCAAAAGAGAGGGAAGTCAGGATCTGATATTCTTAATATTTCTAATATTAAACTAAAAAAAACTTTTTAAAGAGAAAACAAGGCAGCCTATATACCTAATAAAAGAACAGAAAAGGCCAATAAAATGTTATGGGATGTGTGTTTGCTTTTGTTTTGTTTGTTTGCTTCACATTAAACATAAGCTCTAGTTCTGGTAGTTTTCTTTTGAACAAACTGCCCATCCTCTTTAGATGGCGAGTTTAAATGCTAGTCTGACATTTAAAAGTTACTGGACAGTCACATGAATTTTTTTGTGCAATTAATATTTTTATCCTCTTGTCAGCCTTGCAGTGCATTTTGTACTGTAGAATTATATTGGAGCTGCAAAATCATAGTTGGAGTCAGGCTGCTTGCTGCCAGTAACTTACAGAAAATGAGTAACAAGGAGAAATAGCTATATTTTAAAAAACTAAACTCAGTCAGGTTTATTGGTGTTTGAATTAACCATACATCATAGCAGGTATTTTATGTACAAAGAAATCATTTTACCACATGGTGGAGCTTTCTGCTTACTCTACAGGATCAGAGACTGTCAGAGAGCAAAACAAGTTGATCATTTCTCAGAATTGTTTATGTAGCTGACAGATTTGTACTCCAAGGACCTTCCCAAAATCCTCCAGTAAAAAGAGATTAAAACGTAGAATTGACTATGGAGACATATGCATCTGTGCCTTAATGAGAAATCTGGATGTCTTTTAGACCAGCAAATATTTACGTGGATAAAATGCTCTTCAGAAAATCTATCCATGTATTTATTTATGAATTACTGCTGCCCGTGACAGTAATATCCAAGTGCCGATCCTTCACAATCAATGGAGTAGAATCATAGCCAGAACTGTTTCTCATAGTGAAATGACTAATCAGCCCACACTTGGCTGGGGCAGCACTTTTAGCCAAACCTTTTTTTTTATTCCAAAACATTCAAATTCACCAAACAGTTTAATTGTAAACAAAAAAGGCCACAAAAAATTCAGAAAATGTCTTAAATGTTTGTTTTGAATTTTTGATTCAAAATGACTTTTCATTTTGAAATTTCCTTGAAAAAATTTATTTTTTTTTATTTAAAAGGTCAAAACATAATGAAATACTTTGTAAACTGATTTTTTTTAAAAATGTACTGTAGAAAAATTAATAAAAATCTAAAAAAAAAACAAAAATCCCAAGCAGAGGTGGTTGATTTCTACCCCTGCAGACCATTGGTGTCTTTACTATGGTAGATTTAACAGAAGATTCTGCAAAAACAGATATTTTTTTCCTAAATGTGACCCAATTGTGGCACGTATCATGTCTTAAATAACTAACTCACTTTGTCTGAGTAGGGTGCCTTAACTCTGATCAGGAGAGACCACCTCCAATAATTCCTTAGCTTTTCTGTTGATACTGGTAACAAGGCCACATTTATGCTATGGACATTTGCATCCTGTGACAAAGAATCTGACTGCCAATTTATTTCATATAAATTAGCATATTCTAATGCCTTTCAAGCAGCTGGATCAAATCTGATACTGTGGCATAGAGAGGGAAGGCTCTGTAGAATATTACCTGTCCTCTCAGCCATCCAACCCATTCATACATATACATTCATTTTTAAAAATAAAAATTACATATATCTTTCTCCGCCGTAGCTCCTTGACACATAGCACACAAAATCACACCTTAAGAAAAGCCTCCTCTTCTTCACGACTCAGTTTGCACAGCACCTGACTCATATCACGTTGAGGGGAAAGGCTCAGGTCACTGCAACAGATGCAGATACATTGAAAAATAAATTGCTAATTCATCTTCATTAACAAAGAAGTCCTTCCAAAGTGGATGCAGAGGCAAACAGAGTGTGTGGCATTTGCACAGATTTAGGGAATATCTGTGTTTGTAACGACAGAAGATTCATTGCATGATAATGGAGCTAAAAGTCCAAAGGAAAATCGTTTAATTGGCAAAAATAAAACTAGAGGGCCACTATTTTTTTTGGTAGATTTGCTCATTGACATATGGTAATCTGATCACCTTAGTGCAGGGGTTCTCAAACTGAGGGTCGTGACCACTTAGGAGGTCGTGAGGTTATTACGTGGGGGTCACAAGCTGTCCGCCTCCACCTCCAAACCCCACTTTGCCTCCAGCATTTATAAGAGTGTTAAATATAAAAAAAAGTATTTTTAATTTATATGGGGGGGTTGCACTCAGGGGCTTGCTGTGTGAAAGGGGTCACCAGTACGAAGGTTTGAGAACCACTGCCTTAGTGCTACGGGTGGCATTCCTACAGGGCAATGAGTGCTAGTCAAAAGGGAACAAATTACATACACACCACTACACGCTTTACAGTTGTGGTCCATCTTTTAGCTTCTTTGTTTAAGAGAACAATGTATTCTAGTTTAGAATGCAAATTTCAGGGCTTGTCTACAAACACAAATTGCACTGATTGAATTAAATCAGTTGCTAAACTGATTCATAGTTAAATTATGTGGGCACCTTAAACTGCTTACCAAATTAACCTACATCAATATTAGCTACTCTTAAATCAATTGAAAGTTATCCACACAAGAGGGTTGCACCGATTTAACTAAATGAAGTTAGAATTTGATTTAATTAAATCAGTACAATTTGTGTGTAGATTAGACCTAGGTTTTATTTAAAAAGGAGGCTCCAGAGGGGGAGATATCTTAGCAATCTTAACAAGAACAGTGAAGCTGTTTTAAACAATGTATATGGAAGCTACCATAATATTTGGCAGAAAAGAACAACAGAATTGCATGAGAGTAACAGAAACAGGAAATGATAACCATAAACAAAAAATGAAACTGACCAGTCTAGTTTTATAACTCAATATTAGAGCTGATCAGAGAAACTTCGAAGGAGCCATATTGCATAAAAATATACAGTTCTGTCAAAATCAAAAAGCTTCAGAAAATCAGGTCAATTTTGCTGGAATTTTGGTTTAATTTTTTTTTAAATGTTCTGAGAACATCCACACATTCCCTTTCAATATTTTGGGAATGAGATATTTTGATTTCTTGTTTTGAATTTTTATTTTGCATTATACTATAATACAATATAAAATAAAGTCTAAATTGATTGAATCAAAATAAAGCATTTTGAATAACCCAAAATTATTATTATTTCATATTTTCCTTTGTGGAGAATTTTAAAGTTTTAGTGGTTGGTTTTTTGTTTTTGGTAAGTTTTTGCTCCGATTTGGAATGAAGCCAGATTTTGACATTTGAAAATACTTTGCGAAATAGAATTTTTGTCCTCTGCACAGCTCTACTCAACATACATGAAGAACAAAATGTTAACTAAAGCACCTAGAGTGGGGACCATTACAGATGTTTCACTTACTAATATATTATTCTAAAATAGGGAATTATCACAAATACAGTAAATATAATAAACAGTAAAAGAGAAGTTAGTAAGTGTGCCCATTGTACTTTAGGAGGAAAAGAAGCATGTATTTAATGTGACTAATACATTGGGCTAGATGTATGGAGATACTGAGTCCCATGGTATTTCAGGCTTAGCCTCTGAGTTGCATGTGTGACCTTGGGTATATCACTTAACTGCTCTGTGTTTCAATTTACATGTCTGTGTAATCTGGATAATAACAGTTAAGTTAGGAGTGCATTAAGGCTTTCCTTAGTATTCATAAAGTACTTGAGATCCCCAGGTGAAATTTGTTAGTCTCTAAGGTGCCACAAGTACTCCTGTTCTTCTTTTTGTGGATACAGACTAACACGGCTGCTACTCTGAAACCAGGTGAAAGGAGCTATTTGAAGCAAAAAGTATTATTATTTAAAATTCTTTAGGTTTTTTAAGCCCACGCTTGACACGTTATTTTTATTAGTTCTTTTTTTATAATGGTTTTACCAATGGCATAATGGCATAATAAACACACTTTACAAGAGATGGATAAGGAGGAAATTCTCATTGACAAAGTGAAGCATAAAAAGACTGATCATAAATTATTACACTTTGACAGCCTTCTTCACTGCTGTCTAAAGAACAGTACATA